GCCAAATTATGAACATGCTGATCCTAATCAATGTCCTCAGAACATCTCCAGATTCATTTTTTGAGTGATCTGTGTAACTGAATTACATGAAGTCTATAAAGGTGTGATAGCAGAGAAGCTGGGTTCAGAAATATGTTTAATCAGCTCTTGTTCCTAATGCAGTTTTAAGGATGACTCATTGTGCTGCAGTAGGAAGAACTGAATAGCTCTGATCACCATGCAAGGACAACAAAGAAGTTAAAGACTCAGGCTTAGAGTCAGACTAGATGTTAGAGAAGGGGTGGACAATGTGAGCAGGGCTAAGATCCATTTTTCAGGTTTGACAAAAGCCTAAGGGCTACACTCTCCAGGGAGTGGGTGGAAAGGCAGGGGTGTGGTCAAACTAACTGGTATAATTGATTTAAGAAATGTTCTATAATTCAATGGTTCCAATAGGAAGGTTGCTACAATGTTTTTTATTCAGTGAAAGGTGGGTTTAATTAAAATAATTTTTTATACTGAAAAAGCATCCCCATCCCCTCAGCTGGCCACATTTTAAACATCATAAAAAATTGGAAGGCTGGTAAGGGTTCAGGGGTTGCTCAAAACATGGCAAAATTGTTCCCCACAGTCCCTGGAGGGGTCAAGCAGACATTGTGAGCATCCCCCCTTATTTTTAAATTTTTATCATGTGCAGCTGGTGATTTCAGGAGTGCTTGAGTAATGCAAAATCAGACTGCATGTAGCCCAACTCCTATATAAGGAAGAATATATATTGCACGTGATTTAGCATGTTTGCTCTGTAAAGATAGGATTTGCTTTGGCAATCAGACTTAAAAAAATTTACTTGTCTACCTTCATGATCACTAACAAGACATGGGTAGGGAAGAGAGGAAAAGTGCCTGCTTTGATGATCTCTACAGGCCAAGAGCCAATTACTGTATCAAATTTGCCAACAACCTGAGAGTGGTAATCACCAAGGGCTGAGCTAAAGGGAAGGATGTGACCAAAGAAGAGAATTTGCATATTTCATATTTCTGAACTTTAATGCTGCAGTTCCCAACCTTGAGTAACCCAGGTCTTCTTGGACTGCAACTACCAGAAGCTTTCACCACTAGCTGTGCTGACCAGGGCTTTTGGAACTTGCAGTCAAGAACATTTGGGTTACTCAAGGTTGGGAACCACTACCTTAATGCTCTTGTATGTATTGCAAGTACCTAGTGTGGTGTACTGCAGTGGTCCCCAACCTTGGGCCTCCAGATGTTCTTGGACTTCAGCTCCCAGAAATCCTGGCCAGCAGAGGTGGTGGCGAAGGCTTCTGGGAGTTGTAGTCCAAGAACATCTGGAGGCCCAAGGTTGGGGACCAATGGTGTACTGGACAGAATGATGGGCTAGGGTTCTGAAGACCATAGTTTGAATCCCCACTTGATCATAGAGACTCATTGGGGATGTGGAACTGGTAAAACCACTCCTTAAATGTCTCACATATCTATTATATACCTTGAAAACGCTATTAAGATCACTATAAAAGTCATTTCGTTTAAGCCATTTCTGATTTAATGGCACATGGCTAACTAACATACTGCTGCAATACGTGCTTAACTTAAAAAAAGAACATGATTATAACTGAAAATGTCAGATTCTTCCCTCAAAGAGCCAACTTTTTTAAAAGTTCAGCTTTTTTGAGGATGTGGAGGGCCCCAGTGGTACTGCGGGCCCCCTCCAACATGGTAGAATGGCTTCCCACACCTCTTACGGTAAGTGGCATAAGGGAAGTTTTTGATCAAGATTATTTGTCTTATTTTTTAAAAAGTTTTCGTGTGTGGAGGCCTGAGGCTGCCAGGATATTAGAAATCTGCAAAATGCCCCTGGGGGCTGTGTGTGCCCTCACAGGTTGTGTGTTGCCCACTCCTGTGCTTTGACAAAGAAATGGCTTCTAAATATGTGCTAAATTTTCCCCAGTTTGACCCTTACTTAATTTCACTTTCAGCCTGATTTTTCTGGTTCAGAATCATAGCAGATAATACACTTACCACGTTTTTAGGAGAGCTGGTTCCCTCAGGTGGTGAAAGACTTCTATTTGTCATATGCATTCTTTTCTCCTCATGTTTGCATACTGCATTCATTTGTCTATATTGTGTTTGCTTTCTTATTGATCGTTGGCATGAAAACACAGGCTTAATTTGCAGGTCTGTTGAGGCATGTATTTATAAGGGAGATCCCATTGTAGGAAGGATGATGAATTTAGCAAAGGAAATATATATTCTTTTTAATATCTAGTTTGATCCTCATTCTGTAGAAACCCTGAAATAGCATATGACAAATGTTTCTGTCCTTATAGTTCTGGTATATTATTACAGAGCTTGGAGTTATTAATGATAATGATAATGCACTAGTGTTAAATCAAAAATTAAGTATTTAACATTAATAGATTTATTAAAACTATGTAATTAAATCAATATAATGTAACTTTGATTGAAATCCACAGTACGCCCATTGAATCAGTAGAGATTTGATGAGAGAATTCTAATTGATTTAAATGGATCTATTCTAATTTTGAGTGGGACGTGGTGGCGCTGCGGGTTAAACCGCAGAAACCTCTGTGCTGTAAGGACTATAGATCTGCAGCAGTAAGATCGAATCCACTTGATGGAGTGAGCGCCCATAGCTCGTCCCAGCTCCTGCCTACCTAGCGGTTCAAAAGCATGCAAATGTGAGTAGATAAATAGGGACCATCTCGGTGGGAAGGTTCCGTGTCTAAGTCACATTGGCCATGTGACCACGGAAGATTGTCTTCGGACAAACACTGGCTCTATGGCTTGGAAACGGCCCCCTAGAGTCGAACACGACTGGACAAATTGTCAAGGGGAACCTTTACCTTTTTACTCTAATTTTGACTTGCTACACTAAACTAAGTCACAACTATAGTAGGCCCCTTTGAATCAATGAAACTTATGAAGTTGATTCACCAAATCCCCACTGATTCAGTGGGCCTACTCTAGTGTGACAAACTATACTAAGCAATAGGATTTCAACCTATAAATGTGTTGTTACATTAATTGTTAGTAATGTATTGCTTTTAAAATTAAAAATGATTTAAATGATTTAAAAGAGCCCAAATGGCCAGCCTACTAAAAGGATCCCCTAAAGTAGCAAATTAAAATAAAATGAAATGTTAATACATTTTCAAATTGCTAATGCCATTGTTCAATAAATAACTTTTAAACTTGTTTAAAAATTCATGAATCAGGGATAAAAATTTAATTTTTAATTGATACTGAGTTCTGGATCTCTCTCTCTCTCTCTCTTTCTCTCTGTGTGTGCATGCTGTGCGTGTGCGTACACACTCTATACCAAAATATGCCAGTATTTCGGTATCATGGATTCACAGATGGCAAAAGATTATTTGCAAAGGCTATGCTTTGTCTATGTTAAAACATGCTTTTTTAAATTGTGCTTCAGCTGGTCACATACATTTTGAATGAAAGGCTGTTGTATGTGATCCTGATCTGAATCATAGTCTTAATCTTGATCAGATGCTACAAGTTTCCTGCTGAAAATTCTCTCTTTCTGAACGTGTGATTTACTGCAAATAGCAGTTTCATTGTCAGAAAGATTTGTGGTCGGATTCCCCTCTGATCTGGGAAGGGAACATAATCCGGTTCAGGTTCACACATGGCTGCTTTTCCTTTCCAAACAAAAACAGACATCTTAAGCACACTGCTGAAAAGTGTATTTAATGCGATGTTTAGTTTTACCCACATATCCTTATTTTGAGTTATTGGCTTCCAAAGCTCAGGGCTTCAAAAAAACTGGGATGTTTTGGCAAAGACATATAAAGGAAAGAAGAATATGTATTAATTATTTTGTAGCTTGCTGTGTCAGTTAGAGAGTGTGGTTATTTCTTTTAGGGTGTTTCACACACCAATGAGAGCACAACCAAGCAGGAATCTGAACCTAGTCATTTTGTTACCCTCACCCACGCTGTAGTCACCACACCATTATCATTCTCTTATGCACAATGATAAAAATGCTGTGCGAGGTTGAATACTGAATAGGGATTCAGAGGGAAGGTTTTCCCTGAGTGTTTCAGCAGCTATGTGTACTATTAAACTCTGCTCCCCAGTTCATCAGACCCATTCACTCTCGTGGGTCTTTTTCAGGGCCAGTGGCAATGATCACATATTTCACCTGCCCCAGGCCCCATAAACCTTCTGGATGACATTGGTGCCAGAAATTAATGGACAGATGGGAGGGGCAAGGAGCTAAGCGAGTCCCTAAATACTGACTTATACAAAGCTCCTTTTCAAATTTTTAGCATGTATATATTACTGAAACAGCTACATCTACATTGGCTTGGGCATGTCATGAGAATGGCTGATGGTCGGAGTCCAAAAGATCTCCTGCATGGACAATTAGTGCAGGGAAATCACCCCAGAGGGAGACCACAGCTGCGATACAAGGACATCTGCAAGCAGGATCTGAAGGCTTTAGGAATGGTCCTCAACAGATGGGAAACCTTGACATCTAAGTGTTCAGCCTGGAGGCAGGCGTTGGGGCAGCATGGCCTCCTGCTTTTTGAAGAGACGCTTGTCCAGCAGGCTGAGGCAAAGAAGCAGTCCCGAAAACAGCAAAATCAGGAAGCTGGACAGGGGACAGATTGTATTTGTCTCCAGCGTGGAAGGAATTGTCACTCTCGAATTGGCCTTCTCAGCCACACTATATGCTGTTCCAAGTCCTCTGTTCGGAGCCCATTACCATAGTCTCTTGAGACTGAAGGATGCCTAATCTTTCTGACTTTGGGAACCTTACCTATTATTGCTATTTAAATCTTTTTCTGAAGCTATGAAACCCCAAAGTAGAGTAACTTAAAGCAAAAACATGTCTCTGAGATTTTCAGACTATCGTAATTCCACTCATTGCCAGATACTGCGCCTTTGCTTTGCTAGGCAGTATTTATGCAACTCTGTGTTAAATTTATGAGCAATTGGGTTTAATAACAATCTTTTATCTATTTTTAGATGAGCGGGAAGCTGTACAGAAGAAAACCTTCACCAAATGGGTGAACTCTCACCTGGCACGTGTAACCTGTCGCATTTCTGATCTCTACCAGGACCTCCGAGATGGCCGGATGCTAATCAAACTGCTGGAAGTGCTTTCTGGAGAGCTGCTGGTAGAATTCTTTCTTATTTTCACTCTTCTCTAGAAGTAAGAATGCACAAGAAATGGGGAATGTTGCCTTAATAGTACTGCAATGTTCTCTATATGGGGCTGCCCTTGAGGCTGACCCAGAGACTACAATGGGTCCAGAATGTGACAGCCAGACTGGTGGTTGGTGTGAGCAAATTTGATCACATCGCCCCGGTGCTGGCCAGCCTACACTGGTTACCTACTGTGTCCTGGTTCAGGTTCAAGGTTTTGACACTCAAAGCCTTCATGGTATGGGACCACATTACCTGTCAGAGCATCTTTCCCCAATGTCATATGCTAGAACCACCAGATCGTTTCAGGCCAGGCTCCTCCAGGTAGCCACTCTGAGAGAGGCCTAAAGCACATCTACCAGAGGTAGAGTCTTCTCTGTGGTGGTACCAATACTATGGAACCGGCTCCCGGAGGAGCTACACCTGGCCCACTCCATGTGCTTTTAGGAGACAGTAGAAAGCATTCTTTTTCAGAGAGGCTTTTCAATCTGATTCCAGTTGAGTATTTCACCACCAGCTTTGCATTTCTGTCATAATTTGTTAGTGCCACTGGTTTTTGTTTGTTTGTTTGTTTTTTTCTAATGCTCTGCCACATTACTGCTATTTATGGTATATTTTAGTGTTTTGTCATGAAGCTTTCTTTTAATACTTTGTAAACTGCGCAGAATAGTGCTTCAGCACTAATAGGGTGGCATAGAAATGAAATGAAATGAAATAAACACACACACACATACAGTACATGCATGCATACATACATATATACATATATACTGAAGGGAAACAATTGGCATTCAAAACAAAATTTCATGGCCTTCCTAAAAGTACTTCCATTTCATTTTAGAAAATAACATACAATTTCCATATAGATTACCAGATGTGTAGCTCATGATACAGATAAGCTACACATGCACGATTTTCCTGGTAGCCACGGCCAAGCCACAGCCCAGTGTCTCCAATGCAAAACATTAATGTAATTTGTGAAGTCATTCTGAGACATGCTGGCCAAAGTTGGTTTATAGAGTAACACTGGTGTTACTCTATAGCAATCGTATAACTCACAGCAGCAAACCTGTTTTTAATTAATTGCTCTTTGTAGCCAGTTGCGTGGCTTGGCACAAGAGCAGAAATCCAAATGGTGACTGATTAATTACTGGCCATTTGCTACTCCAGAGTTATATCACAGTTCTGCTACTAGTATAACTCCACAAAAGGATTTTGGCTACTGTTGTTTGTTTGTTTGTTTGTTTGTTTGTTTGTTTGTTTGTTTGTTTGTTTGTTTGTTTGTTTATTTATTTATTTATTTATTTATTTATTTATTTACACATACCCCACCTAGCTGGTAATTGTGACCACTCTAGGCAGCTTACAACACAAAATATAAAATAAACAAATATATATAACATAGTTTACACAATTAGAATTTTTTTTCTCCAAGATGGCAAGAAAAACAATATAAATTATAACAGAAAAAGAGGTGAAAAAATTAGGAATTAACTGGAAGGGGGAAAGGCCTTTAAAACAACTGTTTTGTCTGCTGTCTTTTGTTCTCTCCTCTTTTCAGCATATAGCACTTTAGATAAAGTAAGGCAAGGATGGGCACATTCCAGAGGCGATGTGGGAACCACTTTGTGTCTCATTGAACTCATTGGAGACCACACTTCCTGAGATGGCACAAATGCCATCTCAGGAAACCTAGTTAGGAGGAAGGTATGCAGGTATCAGTTATACACTGTTCAATTGCCACTAATTCCCTTGAGCTGCCAATGGGTAGCCTACTCAAAATTTTCATGTTCTCAAATCAGTAATAATTTAAAGCACTTTATGTGCTACAAAACTTCATAGAACCATCAGTCCGGGATGAAACGTAGTTCCACTTTAGCTGATCTTGATCTCCAAGACATGATCCTCCATGTGGCATGCTACACAAATTTATTTATTTAAAATAATTTTAGCACACCTTTCTCCTAAAAAAGTAACAAGGCAACTTACATAATTAAAAATTATATTAAGAACTAAACATACTAAATTCTTCAAATATTTAAAAAGAATCAAATAAACATTATATTAAAAATGTTATGTTAAAACATTACTAAAAGCTCCCATAAATATTTTTCAAATAGATGATTGTGTTAGTCTGTTGCAACATGTTAAGTTATGTATAACGATCAGTGCTCCACTCATGGATTTGCAGTGAGCATTTCTTAAATAACAATATTCACTCACTGAGGTGGGGAGAATTGTGGAACAATACTTTTTCAGTTCCTGTGCCCTAAAATCTTTCCTCTTTCTAAGATACATTCATGACTTTTTTGTCATTTGGATTCATGGCAGAGTCATTTGAAAAAAGTTCTTCAGAAACTTGAAGCTAGAGTAATCTACACAACAGGTACTGTTTCTGAAAATACTGTACAGCTACAGAATTGGCATCTGAACACTACAATACATTGAGAAATCACCAATCACTAAATGTAGTTACATGTCTTCAGCTTCCAACCAGTGCACGCCATAATGTTTATTGTCTATTGCCAAGCCCTTCAATGTAACTGCATCTGCTCAGATCCACAAGACATTGAGTCAGAACTAATGGATTTACAGCAGGCATTTCTTAAACTACAGTATCTGCTCAATGAAGTGGAAAAACAAATTCGGTCTTCAAGGGCACTCTGTTACACATCTTAAAGTAACTGTTTCAGAGTAAAGGAGTTTTTAAAAGTAGAGAGAGAGGACAAGAGCTGAAGTGGGCTATATTGAAGGATTCCATTACTTATATGTCAAAAGGATAAATGAGGAGCAATAATTCCAAAAACAATGAATGTATTAATATTCTGTATTCTTCCACAGTCCTGGGTATAACTCAGGACATAATTCTACAGACATAATTCTACAGACACACAACACACTTGCTGAAAACCATTTGACTGCTGATAACAGAATGTCTGTATAATCAGCACTTTGACTGGATGTCTAGGTAATCAACACTTTGATGTCTATGAAATCAAACCTTTATTTATTTATTTATTTATTTATTTATTTATTTATTTATTTATTTATTTATTTATTTATTTATTTATTTATTTATTTATTTATTGATCTATTTGCCACCTCTTTTTTTGCATCTAATTTCACCCCTATCATGTCCTCTGTGGATATAAACCTGTGGACTAAAAATGCACATTAAAATAAATCTGGTGCTCTTTAAGGTGCCACAACATTTTTGTTTCTACGTTTGTTATACATCCCATAAGCAAGTATCAGCATTAAAACAAGATGACATTCTCTCCCTCCCCCTCCCCATTCATTTGTGTAAAATGAGATACAGGAGTGGGGAGGGTATGGATTTGTTTCCAGTTCAGTGATGCAGTAGCAAAATCATCTGCTATAGTGCGGAGACCTCGTGGGGAGATTTGCTTGTTTTCCACATGTCACACGCTACCTACTTCTAAGGTAAGTTGTCCTTTTGAATACATGAGAATTACACCTTGGAGTTGAGGATTGTTTCACATAGAATTGAGCTTCATCATCTTCATTGTTGGGCAGTGCTGTGACATGATGTATATCTCATGTCAAAAACCATAAAATGCTTTAGATTGTATTGTTATGCATTTGAGACCTCTACATTTTTAGTAGGCTATCTCTTAGGAACCTAAGGGGATTAATAGGAAACTTTGCAGTGTACAGCTGAGAACTATGTGTCTTTTACTGAGTGTAATTGGATTTCTGTGCAAGTGGAAGCAAGCCTTGCACTTTCCTGTGCCAGCAAAGGCTTAGAAACTGCACAACTGAGGCTTTAAAGTATTACAGCTACTGCAAAAACTGGATTTCCTGTCCCCACTACGTTGATCCAAGGTGGGTACTTGCTTACTGTACAGGAGCCGTGGATAGGGGCTTATACTGTAGATACTTTTAACATAATTTTTATAAGAAACCACTTTTAATCTATTTCACAGCCTAAGCCCACCAAGGGGCGAATGCGAATCCACTGCCTGGAGAATGTGGACAAGGCTTTGCAGTTCCTCAAGGAGCAACGTGTGCATCTAGAGAACATGGGATCTCATGACATTGTTGATGGCAATCACCGTTTGGTGTTGGGTCTCATCTGGACAATTATCTTGCGCTTCCAGGTGAATGGTGTGCCTGAAGTATTTTTTTAAAAATGCAAAAGTAATCAGTAGAAAAACATGTTCTGGCAGCAGGAGGAAACTGGAGGCAGATTTATTGTGTGGATTGTCATACTATGAGAAATAATTCTTTTTCCTAGACCTAGTTCCCACAGTCCTGGGTATAACTATATCAAAAAGTTATTTGGACTTGGACTGCAACTTCCAGAAACTCTGGCCAGCACAGCTGGTGGTAAAATTCTGGGAATTGCAGTCCAAAAAGACCTGGGTTACCCAATGTTGGGAACTACTGTCCTAGACTATTAATAACCCTCCTTTCCTCAGTAAGGATTTTATGTAGTTTGGATGAACTCATAACTTTCACTGTTTGTTAATGAACTTGACTTTACTGCTTTCAACTCTTTGTGCCTCTAAAGGGTATAAAAAAAGAAGGAAGGAGTAGGCAGTTCTGGACATCCCAGGAAGGGAAAGTCTACATACTATGGGGCTGGGAGAACAAACTCATGAACATTCGCTGGAGCTATGAGCTCAGTTTGAACCTTTCAGTGCAACTGTTAATGACAATTCCCTTGTATGTAGTATACAGAAAAAAATATTTTATTTTGTTTTTACTTTTTTTTTAAACTCCTGCCAAACGAACAATTGTGTCAGAACTTCTTTTAAGTCAACTTTAGTCTGGATTTGAATATTTGTTCTATTTGCTTGGACTAATTAATTGCACACATGTGCAAGCACAGATGCACATACACTCTTCTACTATAAAACAATCATCCCTCATGATTGTGCTAATCTGACTCATTGTGATATGAGTGTTTGCTGGATTTCAAAGCAATTCAGGTGTAACTCTTTTCGCAGAAGAATTAAATTTTCTACACTGTCCAGCCCAAGCCATTTGGGTTCCGAAGATACTTTCTGTGAGCTGGATGATGTTGGGATGGGCCGTGAGGTACTCACATGTTTTTTTTACACTCTGCGTAAAAAAGACAATTACCACCCACAAATTCCTGCACTAAGTCTGTGGTTGTAATTTCAACGCACGAACAATAATTCTTTGCTTTGGGCTATCCCTATTACAAAGGCAAGCAAACAGCAGGTCTTCCCTTTTACACTTCTACAGCTATGGGCTGGTTTCACCCTAACCCTTTTTCAAAGAAAAGATGTTTTTGGAGAAACACAGCCTTGTGCACTTTGGTGCCATCATATACATCACATGTCATAATACTGCCCAGTAGTGAACATGATATATAGCTTGTTGTAAATGCTCTTTATAAAAATAATAGCCAGGATTAATAAGCCAGAAAGTTTTATTTTAAACAAACCCACAGAAGAATGGAAAGATTAAATGAACAGTTTAAAAAGAAGAGAAACAAACTTTCAGCAGTTTCTTCAGTATATAATCATAAGCCTTTACTTTACTTGTTTAGATAGATACAGTAGATATGTGTACTGTGCAAATTTAGAATAACTTCCTCCCTGCCCTCAAGAATTTTAGTAATATGAAAGAAAGTAAACTGATTAATTGTTTCCTTGCTCTGGCTGTCTTACACGGACTATTTTATGGCAAGTGATCATTGTTAAATTATGGCTAAAATCCTCTTACAAAACCTTACATTGCATAAGGTTGATCATGTCATCAGCCACAGTCTTTTTCAGTTCCTGCCATCTAAGGTTTTGATGCTTCTTTGGGATCTGTTTTGTTGTGAGGAAACCATTGGGGGCCATGGGAAGGGGGGGGGAAATAAGTGAATAAGTATTTAAATTCCAAAACCTACTGTTATCAGTGAAATCATCCCACTGGCAGCAACTTTCAGAAATTAAAGATTCCCCTCATCCCTTGAATCCCAATAACTTCCCTAAGGGAGCCTTGGACCCTTCAGTGGAGGGATTTGAAATTTTTAATTTCCAAAAATATCATCATAACTAATGAATCATCAGCCTCAAGCAAGGTGAAGTTGTGCAGCAGGATTTCAGCTAATGTGTGATAAGAGTTTGATACACACAGGATCAAATCATGCAATGTGAAATACTTTTCTGTCTATTTAGATCCAAGACATCATTGTTCAGACTCAAGAAGGCCAGGAGACCCGCTCTGCAAAAGATGCATTGTTACTGTGGTGTCAGATGAAAACTGCAGGGTATGATGGCTGCCAGTATTTCATCCCAGCTGCAAGCAGTTGATTTAAGCATGCTGTATCTATTAAGGAAATGCTAAGCAATCTTTAGTGGAGGACTGTATGGTCACTGGCCATGTTCCCATTAGTTTTATATCACTGAGAGTAAGACACATCTCTAAGCGCTGTTAGAGTATACCATAAAAGTCAGAGCTATCTGAAGTAATATGATAAGGGTTTATTAAAATGTGCCTGCCAGTACTTCTGTCACTGGTCTTGCAATGCATTTCATGTCACTACATTCTGTGTGCCCTGTAGTGAATTCAAGAACAACTTTTTTTCTTGCCGTTTTTCTTCATGTGGCTCTTGTGAGTGAGTCCCAATGTTTTTGAAGAAGTCTCTTTCGGATTTGTTTATGTTTGAAACTAAAAGAATCTATTGAAGTGCTCTGTTGTTATTGCAGTTTTGACAGGAATCCAGATGCTCAGAATGAGAAGCCAAGATCCTAGGGCAGCATATGTCTGAGTCTTTGTTATGAAGCTATTGTGTACTTTGCGAGTCAGTTTCATGTTTCATGAACTGACCTGGCAATGTGGAGGCTGATTATGCATTTAGATCTCTTATAGAGCTTGTTTATGCCTCACTTTAGATGTCTTAAAAACTAACAAAAGGTACAACAGCTGGTTCACCTTATGACATGTTTATCTTAACATGACCAGTTCAGTGTGAATACAGCTAGAATTGAGAATATTACCATTTGGACAATGAGGGTAATAGTTACTAGAGCAACTCTTTTGGCTGAGATCAAGTGTAATAGTACTAAGGTGGAAGTCTGCAGCTGTCATGCATGAGCTGCCATTCCTCACATGCCAGTTGTCCCAAGTCTCCAAAGTTTTATTTAAAAGTTTAGTCCAGCACGTTGTATATGGATTTAAGCAAAGAAGTGTGTGAACCTCCTAGTCTTATATGCCTGTATTAATTCTCCAAGTATGGTTTCTTGTGTAATCAAAATGCAGCTTCAGTACACAAGAAGAAATTAACAGAAGAGTTGAGGGAACTGTAAGATTTACAGAAATGTGAAAAACCCCTAGGAAAAAAAGCCTAAGTGGGAGAATGAAAAAGAGGCCATTGAGGATCAGGCATGCTTATTCAACAAAGAATGGAAAATTGGTATGGAGAGAGAGGTTACAGGAAGAATGAAATGGCACATACTGGAAAAAATTGTGGTAGTTAGCTGGAGCCCTAAACTTAGGCCTTCCGCACTCTAACCTTTTGTTGTAAGCTCCATCTGTTTCATCTGTTTATGTAAAAGCAACGGTCCATTGTTTCATTATCCCCTTGGTTGATGCTGGAAAATCAGAATTGCACATCCAACTCAAACATTTATTTGTGGATTGAGGAGTGTTTACATTTCCAAATACAAACTGTATGTCTACATTCCTTATGATTATGGGGCAAATAGCATTTGGAAATACTGGTGTTTTCAAAGGTACAAGAAGTGACAGAGGATGAGATGGTTGGACAGTGTCACCGAAGCAACCAACATGAATCTGACCCAACTCTGGGAGGCAGTGGAAGATAGGAGGGCCTGGCGTGCTCTGGTCCATGGGGTCACGAAGAGTCGGACACGACTAAACGATTAAACAAACGAACGAGCTGGAGCCCTAAACTTAGGCCTTCCGCACTCTAACCTTTTGTTGTAAGCTCCATCTGTTTCATCTGTTTATGTAAAAGCAACGGTCCATTGTTTCATTATCCCCTTGGTTGATGCTGGAAAATCAGAATTGCACATCCAACTCAAACATTTATTTGTGGATTGAGGAGTGTTTGCATTTCCAAATACAAACTGTATGTGTACATTCCTTATGATTAAAGTGCAGATGGGGCAAATAGCATTTGAAAACACTGGTGTTTTCAAAGGTACAAGAAGTGACTTGAAAATGTAGCTGCTGTCAAACACCAGTTGCCATTTCACACTTCCATTTAGGGGAAATTTTTTTCTAACTGCATTTAGATTATAATTTATAACTTTTACCTTATGAACTGAATTTATAATTCCTTTTGTTCCCCTTCCTTTCTCTTTGTAACACAGCTATCCTCATGTAAACGTCACCAATTTCACCTCCAGCTGGAAGGATGGATTGGCTTTCAATGCCCTTATTCATAAGCACAGGTACAAACTGGAAGGGCCCTGCAGAGTTCTGCAGTGTTTTGGTTGATGTGATGCATTAAGCTAGCCTACTAGAGGTTACCTTCTCATACATTTCATGATCTTTCTTTCATGAGCTCTGCCTCCTTCCCTCCATCAGTCTGCTTATAAGTCTCAGTTAGTGCTATTTCTATTTCTGATGTTTGAAGGTGACACTTCATTGCTTATTTAGCTGAAATAGCAGAGGCTACTCACAAAAAGGTGTCAGCAGGCCAAGCTTATGGAAATAAAAATATTTAGAGAGATGACTAATACAGCGGGGTGGAATCTTAAAAAAAATCTGGTGAGGACTAAATATACTCAAGGGTATAACAGTAAAGTGTTTTGGGGTGGGTAACTGAAAAGTGGGTGTGAGAGGTGATGGTAGAATGGAATTTCTTGGTAGAAGGAATTGCTAGCTGACTGAAATCCTAAACAGAGAGTACTTTGTATTACAATAATTTGTAAAATAACTTCCAGTTATTTTTGTCTGCTAGAATTGACCTAATCTACTCATATTTTATATGGTTTTCTCCCCGCTCCTAATATGTAGGCCTGATCTGATTGACTTTGAGAAACTGAAACACTCAAATGCTAGGCACAACTTGGAGCATGCTTTTAGCGTGGCAGAGCGGCAACTTGGCATCACTCAACTTCTTGATCCAGAAGGTGAGTCTGTTTGGCTCAGTGCCTGCCCTTTTAAAACTGAGAATTCAGCTGACATAACAGATACGAGTTATATAAGCAAAGTGGTTTTAAGGACTACACAACTGGCAGTTCAGCTGAAGAATCCTTTTTATGTAGTTCCAAAAATCTGGCTGAAGAAGATCATGGAGAAATAACATAAGTGGAAATAGATGCAAAGCTCATACCTTTTTTTGTGGATGTGTCCTTTCCTGAAGCACTCCACCAGTAAGCTCCCCAGTTCAAGCCCCTTGGATGTGAAAGGAAGCTGCACATGTCTGTGTTAATGTTTACATGGCCCCTAAAGACCATCTGTTATTTTGACTGGTGTCTTTTTAGTTGGATGCTTTAAAACATTTTTAAAAGATAGAAATAATTGTCTTGGGGGGAAAACCACTACAATATACCCAGATACATCCAAATTGTATGTGTGCAGATCTTCTTTATAATTATGATGATGAATGTGATGAATACAGAATTCTGTGGTAGCTCTTCTTCCTGTATTATGTGGGTGAACATCCATAGTTCCCACAATGAAAGAACCCAGTTTTTATGCACAGTGCACTGAATGAAAGGGAAAACTTACAGGGCTGAGAAAACTGTGTGCATGTTACACCTACCTGCACAAGTAATCATTGGATCTGACATAGTCAGCTTATGCCTAGCCAAAAAAATAAAAAATAAAAATTAATTGATTAATTGCCAGGCAGAGTTTCTTTTAAGCCAAGGCGCAGGGTGCATTGGTATTCAGCGTCATGACTGAGTCTTGATTGATTTGGCTCTAGAACAGGTGGGTAATATTTCTTTGAATGTGTATAGATTGCTTTTTCATCACTGAGGGACAGCACCAGTCCTCAACTGCTGAGATTAGGAGGAAGGCCATCAGACAGCAATCCATGCCGAAAGAAATTCCAATGGTAGTGGACTAGGAATGGCCAAAAGCCTCTAACACTGGCACAACTGCTCTTGCACAGGTTGATCTCAGATCTATTAGCAGAACTGGATCTGCCAACATAATTGCTATGCTGGTTGAATTCATGCAGCAGAAAAGCCAAGAAAGAAATGAAGAACGAAGGAGCCCGGGAGGAGTAAATTATGCCAGATCCAAACCCTTATCAACTAAGATGCACAGCTACTGTGCCAGCACAAAGTTAAATCAGGGTCAGGGTAGTCCTAAGTAATTTCTGACTTCTTTAAACTGGTTGGGGCTTGGATTTAGCACAGCCTCAGCTGGGATTTGTCAGTTTTGCCAGCTCTTAGCTATCTTGGTTAGTTAGGATTGTTTCCTAAGTCAGTAGCTATAATTTCTGCATCCTAGCCCCTTATGTTTTGCAAATGAAGGGTGATTAGTGGAGTAATTTGGCATTCTGATTTCTTGCAGTTCAGTTATCTACACTGTAGCATTGTTGCCTTATGTTTCATATTTCCTCCCTGGGTTCACTGCCATTGAGTTTATAATTACAGTATTTGTTGTTGAGGGAGGATATTATCAGGAAGTTAGAGTCATTTTACACATTTTACTCTCCAACACAGAGGTATGCATGCAGAAAACTTAATTCTTACACAACTAGCTTTGCTCCCATGCATTCCATTGTTTTCTTATCTGAAATTGGCTAGGCAGTGAGATGGTGTGCACTGCTACATTGTGTTGTGCTGGAGGAATGAAAGTTCACATGAAGTCCACGTTGGCTGGCCATTCTTTTCAAACCAGTTATCTTTCTTTTGACAATCTCTTTGCTGTTCAGACGTCTTTACAGAGAACCCAGATGAGAAATCCATCATCACCTATGTAGTTGCTTTCTACCACTACTTCTCCAAGATGAAGGTACTTGCCGTTGAAGGGAAGAGAGTTGGAAAGGTAAGGCTAAGGCCTTATGACCTCTCTGAGTAGTAGACCAATTTTATTTATACATTTTACGGAATCTTTGCTGCTATTCTTAAAATGTTTTTGTTATTATGAGCAATTCTACTCTAAGCCATAATGATTGATAGTTGTAAACAATAAAAGTGAGAAATATGTTGTAAAATTGTCTTCCTGTCTTTTAACTATTTTTATGGCTTTGGTGACTTTCTTCACATACATAGCTTAGTTCATTCAGTAGATCTTCCTTGAATTTTTTTCAAGGGTGGACAACCTCAGGTTTTGGAGTCCTTGTTAGACACACTAGGTAGAATCCAGCAAGAGCTGCACTGTGACCACTGATTTTGTCACTGAAATACTGTGGCTCCTGATCTTCAGCTTTCTGTGGCATCATAGAATTTTGCTAGCCTGTAGAGCAGAACCTCCTTCTCTTCCAGAAAGGAAGGGAAGACATTTATTTCTTATAGTGGTGTTGCTGCCAGTTTTCAGTGGCAGCAGCAAGTAGAGGAACATGGAAGTGGGAGTGATGCAAAAATGGCCTGAAGGAATCACCCTTGTTCTAGTATGGAATTATTAATACTGACTGCTGGTAAGATAGTTACTGTTTATAATGATGGCGAGTTTCATACAGAAGAGTTTTGCCCCTCCTTTTCAACTGCATCTCACAAGGCAACTAGTTTCCTCCATTTTAAATAAGATTCATGGAAGCCACTGAGAACCAAGCCAACCCCTCCACTTTCTTCTGTTTCATATTGATGTGAACTGTGGCTAACATGGAAGGAGTCAGAGATTGGTTTTATAGGTACAGAGATGGAGGTGGAAATGCAGCTAGAATATAGATAAGCAAATTTGTTGTTATTAGATGGAGGTGGAAATGCTGTTTGTAATTCATTGGGAAAAATAAGATAGAATATTAATTATAATAGTAAGGAGGAGGAGGAGGAGGAGGAGGAAAACAGCTGAAAATAAATTTTGAGGCATGTATGATTATGACAGTTCTCACCTTAACATTTGCTGAATTGCTACAAGTATGAAGGGATCACAGGCTTCTTTTCAGAGCCAGAAAGATTGTTCTTGTTAATCTAGACTGACAGGCCTGAGACTCCCAGGCAGTCATCCCTGCATGCAGTCCAACATTTCTAATGTGGTGAGGTCAGACTTGTTGACATTGTGGAATATTCTCGTATGCAAGATCTGCAGGTTGATAAAGGGCTTGACATATTTCCAGCAGCAGCAAGTACCAAATGAGCAGCACTTTGTTGGTGTATTCCTTTCCTTAGGTAATGGACCATGCAATGGAGACTGAGAAGATGATTGATAAGTACAGTGGCTTGGCTTCAGACCTGCTGATGTGGATAGAACAGACCATTGCTAGTCTCAATAGCCGCAAGTTTGCTAATTCTCTGGCAGGCGTGCAGCAGGAGCTCCAAGCCTTCAGTACATACCGCACAGTGGAAAAACCACCCAAGTAAGCACCTATCAAAGGGGAGGAGGTATTTTGGGCTTCCTTTTTGCTGATGCTTGCAATTCATTCAGAAGCTAAAACTGTACTCATCTGCATAGTGACTCATTTGGTTGTAGTCTGAGGTGGAAAAACAGCATATTGGGACATGATAGTGACAATGATACTGTAATAAATAGCAGGCGGGAGCCAAACTGAAAGGAAAAAGACAGTTGATGTACTCCAGTGGCATGTTATTATAATGCCAAAATGAAATGCAGTTTCAGACAGTTTTTTCATTGTGTTGCACCCTTCCCTTTTCTTTCAAATTGGAGGAATTTGGGAAATATTGATACTGATAAAAACATTTCTGACCTAGGAGAAAGGGGAGAAATGGGAGAAACAGGAGAAAGGGATATCTTCCCTTGCTCTTCTCCCTGCAAAGCTACTAGATGAGGATTTCTGAATATACACTTAACGTCTATACAGCATTTTTCCTTACGAACCAGAGTGGGAGGGGAGTTATCACCAGTCATAACTAGCAATCTTTGCACCTAGAACAACTAGCACTGTCTTCCACCTGTGTCTATTTTTTGTCCTACTGGACAATGGTAAGGCCTGGTGGAGCTGTGGAATGCACACCCTGTGCTCCATGCCCAAGAAGGAAAAGAAAACTGCAGCATTGACAGTGCCTCCCACCCCACAAAAGAGGAAGAGAAAACCTGCTGACCTCTGCTGGTAGTAGCTCTGTTTCAGGCATGCTGGATTGTGAGGGAACTCAAAGCCAAGACCCCTGGAAAAAGCTGTCAGGGACATCTTCTGCTCAGGCCTCCTGCTTTTAATATTATCACCCATTTGGAATGACCCAGTGAAACTGACCTGCAAAATGGTAGCGCTCTTGAAGGGGTGGAATGGAGAATGTCCTAAGCTTTGGGATAAGAAATGGGTTTTCTTCCTGGCTGTTCGGATCTCTTTTTTTCTGATTGTCTTCTCCAACTATTATGACCTTCTACAACTTCCTCCTTCTCCTCAGACTTTCCACTTCCTGATCCCCTCACGTTCTAAATCTCCACTTCCCAAATTCCAGTAAGAATCCTGTATTATAATTAACCACACTGCTCCTAGCCATCCCTCCTCACTGCTGTAACCAAATACAATGTTCATTACCTCAAAAATTTACTTACTTACTTATTTACCTTATTTATATCCTACCTTTCTTCCAATAAAGGAAAACAGGGCAGCATACAATGATTACAAAACTGCACATATAAAATCATAGTAAATCAAGACATTACTGTATCATTAAAAAGAATTAAACCACAACCTGAGTAGAAAAATGCCATTAGTTTTAAAGGTTAAAACAAATTTAAAATAACTGATTATAAAAGGTGCTGACAAAAATATGCTACAACTTCTAAAAATTCAATCCTGCAAGGACTTTGGAGCTTAAAAACCAACTTAAAAAGGAGATTTTCACATTCCAACACAACTACTGTGAGGAGTGGGTTAACTTAGCCTCATAAGGCAGGGAATTCCATAGACTGGAAACAGCCGTAGAAAATGCCCTCTCTCTGGTCTTCAAGAAATGGGTCCCTGCCTCCACTTAAATTAGCTCCCTACCAAAAGATGCTGTTAGGTGGAAAGACAGAATTTTGATAGACGTGGGTTTTATTTAACATTGTAGGACATGCTTCCCAAACTGAGTTTGTAGTAGATGAGTCATAATAGTGCATATAGTATTGGCATTAAATTCCTGATGGCAATTTTTAGAGTATCTATCTTAATTATATTTTAATCATTTTATCTTTTATTGTTGTAAGCCGCCCAGAGACCTTTGGGTAGAGTGGGCGGCATATAAGTTTAAATAAACAAACAAACAAACAAGATCCATTTGTCTTTGTTTCTGGGCAGAGCATTAGGCCTTTATTTGATTATAACAACACTCATAGCCCTTATCCACCTTGGAGTCATATACACGCAGGAGCACACTGTTATGGGCATAGTCTTAGCTGAATACAAAAATGGCTACAGTGAGGACTGTCCTCCAGGCCTGGCAGCTGAAGCTTACGTGCTCATAGCTGCAGTTGGATGAGTCGTTTTGAATGGGAAGCTGGAGTCAATTTCCTCTGGCCTCTGTTTAATATCTTCTTTCTCTTCTCTACTGAATAGCCAGTCAGAGTATTTGAGGGACTAACTGGTTGATATGTGTGCTTTCTCAACAACAAATCAAGTTGGAGCAGGGCATCAGTTGTAAGGATTTTAGATTCTAGTTAAAAAAAAACATTTATGTAATCTTCATTCTTTTCTGTCACACAACTTGCTACAACCATCTTAAACTCTTTTAACTTAGTTTTCAGGAGGAATGTTTAGTGCATATCATCAATTTTTTGAAATTAAACTCTTGTGGCCTGAATTTGGAAGAATACACTATATTTCAGTGACTGGGTGATAGGTGTTGCTTGGGTTGCAGTTTTGGACTATGGTGTGTTCTTTGCCCAAAGTACACTTTCAATTTTTCTCTGTGTGTTCCAGATTTCAAGAAAAAGGGAACCTGGAAGTCTTGCTGTTTACCATCCAGTCAAGAATGCGAGCCAACAATCAGAAAGTGTATACTCCTCATGAAGGAAAACTAGTATCTGACATCAACAGGGTATATGACACACTTCCTTAAAACAGAAATGTGACAGATCAAGAATTAAGTCATGGGGTTTTGCTTCTAGAAATCATATTTATTCTTTCCTAATTCATACACAGTAGGACTGTGGTATCTGCAGGGGATCAGTTCCAAGCCTCCCCCTCATGGATACCAAAAAAACGCAGAAGTATCCAGTGCTGTACATTGCATGGTCCCTGGCTAATTCTAGTGACCAGTTCTGGTGAATACACCCTGAATTCTGGGATTTTTTTAATTTCATATTCATATTTTCAGGCAGCAGATAAGTGAATCACTGGATACTGATGCTACAGATAGGGTGGTCCTCCTGTAGCTAGTCAGGAAGTAGCTATTGTTTTTCACCATACATGTCAAGAAGATCCCAGTTGCAATCCATAGATGTATTTCTAGATTTGAATAATGGAGCAGGCCTGAGAAACATTTTTGAAGGAAAAAATGAGAGGTATGAGTGGTAATAAAGAACAATGGACAAGCTTAGGAGAAAAAAGAGAATAGACTTTATTATAGGAACTCCCATCTGGTGCTGATTTAGGTGACAGCTGTCCACCGAAACAAGTGAATTAATATCAGAGTCATTATAAACAGTCCAATGTGTTTTAATGAGATGGTTCAGTAATATCAAAGGATTACAGGTAACAAACATCATACTATTTGGTCTTTTCAGACGTTATCATAAATATGCTACGTAATAGATGTATACTGTCACTGTGGCAAAGAATGCAAAAGGAACAATTAGGAGCAAAACTGACAGTTAATTTGTGGTCTAGGGGTGGACAGTTACACAGCTAGCATAGAAAATTAGAAGCAAAATAATTAACATTGATGTATTCTGAAGGGTTTCATAATTTTTAACTGAAAATTCAGAAGAGTACTTTGCATTTCTGCAGTGAGAAAAGAAGATTATTACAACGCTGTCTAGGAGTTTTACATCTTTCACTGATACACTGGTTGGTAGAAATGGGCTAAATACCTTGATGTTGATCTAGTCTGACAATTTTATATACAGTGGACCCTCGACTTACAGACGGCTCGACTTACAGACTTTTCGAGTTACAGACTTCTCTGGCTGCAAAATTTAGATTCGACTTGCAGCCAGAGAATCGACTTACAGACCAGAAAAAAACCAAAATGGAATAAAAATAGAATAAAAACCACTGGTTATGGGATTAATCTGTTTTCAGTGCATTGTAGGTCAATGGAGATTTGACTTACAGACTTTTCGACTTGCAGCCACCATTCCAATACAGATTAATTCCTTAAGTAGAGGGTCCATTGTATTCCTTCAATTGGATTAGTTGTAATACCTACACAAGGAAAATGTTTTGTAGTCAAAATGTATTACATTTTAAAGCTATAGATAAATCCAAGTTCAACTATCACTTTTATTGTCTCATACCTCCACAGGGTATTTCATTCAAATAATCCCATAAATCACAGAAAGGATGCTGGGAGCTACCTGTGTTGTTAGATGCATTCAGGAAAACTACTGCCCAGAAGTCTAGGTGCTATTAGAAACCAATTTTAAATGTCAAATTCATGAATTCTGAAGAACAGCACTTCTGCAGTGGAATTGATGTGGCCATTCTTCTGTATACACTTTGGCACAGAATGAATGTATTGTGATCTACAGATCAAAGATGCTGTGGGCACTTGCCAGCTATTCATTCATTCATTCATTCATTGATCCATCCTTTAAAACGACCCAAGGTGGCTTATATCATAGAATCATAGAATCATAGAAAAGTGTTAGGAAGTTTTTCCTGATATTCAACTGAAATCTGGCTTCCTTTAACTTGACCCCATTGTTGCGTGTCCTCTGGGATGATCAAGAACAGATCTTGCCCCTCCTGTGTATGACAGCCTTTCAAATACTGTATTTGAAAAGTGCTATCATATCACCCTTCAGTCTTCTTTTCTCAAGGTTAAAGGCAAAGGTAAAGGTTCCCCTTGACAATTTTTGTCCAGTCGTGTTCAATTCTAGGGGGCGGTGCTCATCCCCGTTTCCAAGCCAAAGAGCCAGCGTTTTGTCCAAAGACAATCTTCCGTGGTCACATGGCCAGTGCGACTTAGACACAGAATGCTGTTACCTTCCCACCGAGGTGGTCCCTATTAATCTACTTGCATTTGCATGCTTTTGAACCGCTAGGTTGGCGGGAGCTGGGACAAGCGACGGGAGCTC